CTCCGTGTTAAATGAAGCTGCAAAATCGTCTTGTTTTAGTTGAACATATAAATCAGGGATATCACAAAATAAAAGGTAAAAATCAGAAAAAGCTCACAAAAAGAAATGTAAAATCAGAAAATCAGAACACCTTAGTAGGAAAAAGAGCAGAAACAAAGCAGAAAAAATTTCAAAAAGCAGAATTTTTCTGCCAAAATCAGCGGATCTGGGATCCCTGGCATAAATCCACGATTCTAATGATGGTATCGATGTTAGTAATTTTTCTAATCTAAATAATCAAGTCGTTGACATCTATCAGTTATTGACAAATTTAATTCTTTTAGTTATGAAAACGTTTTGATAACTGCTGAAGCTGGTTCACATTCAGTACGAGAACTTTTGATATTCGATGATTGTAGATTTGGAACATATTTATTTACTAATAAAGCATGCACCTAGACCAAAACCTCTAAAACTACGCCACATTCTCAGCACTTGCTGTTGTATCTTATATATCCACTCACTCTCATCTTTCCATCCTCCACCCCTCCTGGCCAACGAACACATTTTATGTTCATTTGTGAAAAACACGCAAAACTCACCGCTCCATTTTCATTTTCTTTGTATACGATTGACAAAAATGAGACGTAACTAGTCTTCTTTACCTTGCCAGTCTTACAACTCAATGTTTCACTTACATGGTGGCGTGTTAGAATAGTCTATTGGAATAAATTATACTTTTCTGATTGATTATCGAAAAATAGTCAAAAATTCCCTCTTTTACCAGCGAAACTATTTTATAAAAATGTAGCAGAAAGTGGAAAAGTCTGCATTGTCACTGATTTTAAATTCCTTTTTCTCTTCTAGGTATAACACATGCTGAATTATTAGATGAAATTTTATTAGCAATTGCTGTGGTTTCGAGACAACTTCGACCGCTTTGGCCTGGTTCATTTTCTACATGAGTAAACATCCACATGTTCAACAAGAAATTAAGCGCGAATTACGAAACAATGAGATAATATCCACCACTGATCTCGCTCTTGATTTACCTGATAAATTAATCTATGTCGATTATGTCATGAAAGAAGTACTGCGCATGGCACCTATTATCGATTGTACAATACGAACATTGTTAAAAGATGATGAGTTTAATGGTGTAAAAGTGCGCAAAGGTGTGTCAATATTGATTGCACTTCATAATGTTCATTTGGATTGACGATATTGGAATGTAAGTCCACATGAATTTCGACCTGAGCGATTTTTGAATGAAGATAAAAATCATAATCCGTACACATTAGGCATATTTGGCAGTGGTCATCGAGCGTGCGCTGGACAAGATTTGGCAAGATTAGAATTGAAAACGATAGTTACTCAGCTCATGCAGTATGTAACATTTGTTGATAGAGGAGAAGAGAAAAATAGTGACGGGAAATTACAGGGTCTAATGACTGCACCGAAACATATAGGTGTTTACATTCGATTTGATTGACCGTATGACTTATTGTGTTCATCAAAGAATCTATTAGCAAATAGAGTTTTACTATATTATCGATTTTTTAAGTTAATATTTAGAAACGCTTTGTACGTTTATATAATAAACTTTTGTCGAAATAATAGTACCTTTTATGAAACATCTAATTACTCCCAGACTCCGGCAAAAATATTCTGCAAATGGTATGTAAAGCATTATAGTTCAATGTTAAGATATATTCAATTTTATCCACGCTGGCTATTCAAATCTATTTTTTTATTTAAGCTTAGGAAACAAGACTATCTCAATTCCAAAATGAAGGAAAACATTTTAAGCAATCAAGTATTTTCTCCTAGTCTTTTCAAAATACTTTTATTGAATTTAATTTTTGAAAATTCTCAAGTAATATGGGGATCTATCTTAAGAGAATTAGGAATTTTTGATTTTCTATGTTAGTAGTGACTTCAGTTGTTTTCATATCTTTGGTGTTTGAACAAACTCTACAATCGTACTCAAAAATAAACTACATTTGAAATCAATAGATTTATATCAGTTTGTTCAGTTGTACAAGATATCATGTTTAGCCTAATATCTACATTTCGTCGAGTGAACGATGTATTATTATACATTATCAATTTTTTATGTTGGCAAAAGATTAAATATAGTTGATATGAAAAGATCGCGTTCAGAAGATAAAGAAAATTAAAAACAGTAATGTATCAGAAAATATTTTCGTACGACAGATAGCAAAATTGATGTTATAGTGTAGTTATGTATCCTAACACTCTTTGTTACAGGACTGCGTCATACACTCGTATGTTTTAATCTGATACCCTAGACAAAACTTTTTCGATAAAACTGATAAGATTCTTATCGGAATCTTATCAGTTTCTCTTATAAGATTTGTTTAAGGTTTCCCATCGACAGTTGTAAGTGTCGTATAAGAATCTTATAAGATTTTCGTAAGAGGTTCATAAAAAATTCATAGGAAATACCAGAAATTCTTATGTTATTCTTATTCAGTAGAAGGCAGTTCATGAGTTGGTTTTTCTGATTTCTGTTATAATTAAGTTGCGTCTATCGGCTGGAAAACATCATAAGAATTTTAGGTATTTATAAATTTCATGCGAACCTCTTATGAAAGACGTATAAGATTCTTATAACACACTTACGACTGTCGATCGGAAATCTTAAACAATCTTATATGGGAAACTGCTAAGATTCCAATAAGAATCTTGTAAGACACTGGTAAGAGACTTGGACGTTTCTGGTAAGATTCTTATATAAGAATCGATGTCTGGGGTAGTGACTTCCTTCCCATGTGCGCTTTCTTGCTTGATTCGCGGTGTGATCTCGCTAAAATCGCGCAACTCATGCCGCAATTGCTAAGAAGTCGCTATTGTGGCACAGCGTTCGCGACCAACTCTTATTTTACAAAAAACTCATAATTCATGAACGCGACGAGACAATAGCGACCTTTTAGCGACCGCGGTGCGACTTCGCGATCCGAGCACGATCACTGTAAGAAAATGTCGTCGCGGCGCGATCGTACATTTCTCTTACGCTCGTGACGTGATACAGCGTCGCGGCGCGTCTCCTGTGTAAATCTTATTCAGCGTTTCGTTTTGCTTACGCACCTGGTATATAACCCTTACTGATTTTTCGAAAAATTTTCAAAATCTTATCACACCTTAATATAGCTTACGACATGACTAATATAGTCTTGCATAGTCGCGTCGCGCTCACGCAATTCGTCTGCGTTCGCGGTAAAATTAGCGTGGCTCCAGGGGCGGTTCCAGGATTCTACCTGATTTCTAAACGATCTTGTCCGAGGTAGTATGAATATTTTTTCTGATACATTACTGTTTTTAATTTTCTTTATCTTCTGAACGCGATCTTTTCATATCAACTA